CCCATGGTCTCATTCAGGGCTTCTTGATGGACTTGGAAGGACTGATGAACTCACTGAAATCATGTGCAAAAAAAATTTGCATGCCTATAGGTACTATTGATCACCTTTCCAAAGTGGTTTGTAACATTCCCTTCACACCCCCACACTCCAGAAAGAAGAAAAAGGAACCACTGAACGTCTAGCTTCAAGTAGTAAACTGTCAAAGTATAAATGCAGCAGAGACATCCAACATGATACTGACTGAAAAATGTTTGCTGCATTTGGTACAGAGGTCACTTTTTAGAAAGGTCATCTGGCTTATGTTCTTTCAATTTTCTTTCCACTTTAACTCATTCCAGTCTGGCTTTGAGTCCACCATTCTGTCAACACTCCTTGTCAGGAACACTGACATTTATCTTGCAAAATCCAAACTAACCATTGTCTCTTATCTTACTTGACCTCTAAGTTGCAACCCCAGTCTTCCTGTTTTGCGCCTACCTCTCTGATTTAAACCACCTTTGTGTGTGTGTGTGTGTGTGTGTGTGTGTGTGCTCTAGATGAAATGGCTACAATAGGGCCGGCACTGTGGCTCACTTGGCTAATCCTCTGCCTGTGGCGCCGGCACCCCGAGGTTCTAGTCCCGGTTGGGGCACTGGATTCTGTCCCAGTTGCTCCTCTTCGGCTCTCTGCTGTGGCCCAGGAAGGCAGTGGAGGATGACCCAGGTTCTTGGGCCCTGCACCCGCATGGGAGACCAGGAGGAAGCGCCTGGCTCCTGGCTTCAGATCGGCGCAGCGTGCCGGCCGCAGCGTGCTGGCCGTGGTGGCCATTTGGGGGGTGAACCAACAGAAAAGGAAGACCTTTCTCTCTGTCCCTCTCTCACTGTCTAACTCTGCCTGTCAAAAAAAAAAAAAAAAAAGGCTACAATAGCTCTTAAAAAAAAAAAAAAAACAACTTACCTATTTGAAAGGCAGAGTGCCGGAGAAAGAGTAAGAGACAGAAAGAGAAAGAGATCTTCCATCTGCTGGCTCACTCCTTAAATGGCCACAAAGGCCAGGGCTGAGCCAGGACAAAGCCAGGAGCATGGAACTCCAACCAGATCTCCCATAGGAATGACAGGGGCCCAAGTACTTGGACAATTTTCCACTGTTTTTCCAGACACATTAGCAGGAAACTGGTTCAGGAGCGGAGCAGTCAAGACTCAAATTGGCACTCCTGTATGGCGTGCAGCGTTGCAAGCAGATGCTTAACCTGCTGCGCCACAAGTAGGCCTGCTATGATTGCTCTTAAGTGGCCTCTCTGCTCAACCACTTCCCTCTCCGCTGCCTTTAACCTGTGGCACTAGAAAGATCTTGAAAAGCTGTAAATCAGTACTTGCCTGCTCAGGACTTCCACATTTGCCATTCTTTAGGGCTGCAATGCGTTTCCTCCAGTTTTTCTCTATTACTGGATCCTTCTCTTGTAGCTCTCAGGTCAAATACACCTTTGAGGTTCACCTCCCTCTACTCTCCTACTTTGTTGTCCTCTCCCATCTACTTATTTTATTGCACTTTGCACAACTTGAAATTATGTATTTATTTATGTCTCACACCATTTGAACATATGTTTCTCCAGGACTGCATTTCAGTTTCACTGCTAGATAGCCAGGGCTTAAAAAGAATGTTTACTGTAAAGCTGGCACTTACTGAATAGTTACTTAAGGCATGAGTCATGAGACACAGGATGAACTGCAATGAAAATACTTGACTTTCAAGTTTGAGCTTTTTTTCCCACAATGCTTTACTTTTTTTCTTTTTTTATAACAAAGGAAAATAATGAATTCTGTAAGCCTATGTTATAAAGAAATCTGGAATGCAGGGAGAGAAATCCAGTGATTTCAAGTCACTGATGACTTTTTTTTTTTAAAGGAAGCAGGAACACGCCATACAAGGGCAAGTCCACGGGCAGATGTGCCCCCACATGTTTTTTTTTTTTTAATATTTATTTATTTGAAAGAGTTACACAGAGAGAGAAGGAGAGGCAGAGAGAGAGAGGTCTTCCATCCTCTGGTTCACTCCCAAATTGGCCACAATGGCCAGAGCTGCACTGATTTGAAGCCAGGAGCCAGAAACTTCTTCCAGATCTTCCCATGTGGGTGCAAAGGCCCAAGGACTTGGGGCATCCTCTACTGCTTTCCCAAGCCATAGCAGAGAGCTGGATCGGAAGTGGAGCAGCCAGGACTCGAACTGGTGCCCATATGGGATGCTGGCACTGCAGGCGGCAGCTTTACTATGCCACTGCGCTGGCCCCAACTGATGACTTCAGAGAAAGTAATTTTGGAAGGACTGAGTGAGGAGAAAAGCCCGAAGGCTTGGCTGAAAAGGATTAAAGTGAGAAGTGAGGAATGAGAGGCAGAGTGTATAGATTTCTTTTATGGGAGAAGTTTAGCAGAGAAAGTAAGACAGTAACCCGATTGAGGTGGCAGTGCACTGGATCAATGTGCAAAGACTGACAGGAAAGAGGCATCCTTTCAGTTTAAGTGAAACTAGGCAAGTATTGCCACAATTTAATGGAGAGAAAGAAGTATTTTACAAAGAAAAGGAAGATTTGTGTTTTATATATCTGTTGTGGGGCTGGTCTGAATTTAGTGGATGCAAGTGATTTTCAAAAACTACTTTTTCTTGGGCCAGCATTGTGGTGTGGTAGGTTAAGACACTGGGCATCCCATATGAGTGCCATTTTGTGTCCCATCTGCTCCACTCATGATCCAGGTCCCTGCTAATGCACCTGGGAGAGCAGCAGAAGATGGTCCAAGTGTTTGGGTCTCTGCACCCATATAGGAGACCCAGATTAAGCTCCTGGCTCCTGGCTTCAGCCTTGCTCAGCTGGCTATTGTAGACATTCGGGGAGTGAACTAGCAAATGGAAGATCTCTCTGTCTCTGTTTCTGTCTCTCCTTCTTTGCCTCTCTTTAAATCTATAAAATAAATAAATAAATATAAACAAAACTGGTCTTTCTCTACAAAAAAGGTAGTTTAAGAACTTTCATGTTAAAAAGCCCAGAGATCTTTTCAGGGCACAGATGAACCTCAGTAAATAATCAACCTTTGTTCTGCTTCAGGTTTTGTCTAAGTTGAGGCTGAAGGTGCTTGCTAACCTTCATGAATGCAGGAGACATAGTTAGATCATGATAAAGGCCATTTGATAATGACCATTTGTAGTCCAACAGAGTTGGGTTTATTAACTTGCTGAAACAAGGGCAGTCACACACCAGAGATGTTGGATCTGTGCTCAGCCACCTTGGACATGGAAGCGCTCAGAGCCTGGAAACTGGAAGAACACTCATGGATCCGATGGTAGACGGGACATGCTTTACCCAGCATCAGCAGCAACAGCAGCAGCCAATAACAGAAGCACTGGCCTCTGTCTATCCAGGATTTACACAATAGTGGCTGTCAGCCAAGGAGTTACATGGCAGAAAATGTATCAGCCACCAGGCTCTGCCTGGTTGTCATAGAAACACAGATACAGCATAGATGTTAATACACAGCATTTAACCTGTTTACCTGGACTTCCTTGTGTTTCAACAGAACTAAGGATATCTAAGTTAAAAAAAAAAATGAAGAGATGAGGCAGCAGGGATTTGCTAGAGTTTAAGTAAGTGTTAGGCTCAGGCTTGGGCTATGATGCTGCTTCAAGGTCTCGAGTCCTTGAAACTAAAGTTAAAACAAAAGTGAGATGTTGTATCTGAAAGCCCTTTATTTGGAGCTCTATACTTGGATGAGGAAGGTGTCAAAATGACCCACATGATGGTGCACATCCTTCAGGCCAGGGTGGGATGTTCCATTCTTACTGCTGGAATTTCCAACAGCCAAGCTTCTTCAAGTTATTTTAGGGAACAAACTTTCTCAGTCTGCGTTCTGGATTCTCAATGGGTATCTATTTCTACCTGTTGAAATATGCTCAAACTTTAACGTTCAGCAAGCCTATTACCTCGGGGCTGGCACTGTGGCCTAGCGAGTAAGGCTGCCACCTGCAGTGCCGGCATCCCATATGGGCGCCAGTTTGAGTCCTGGCTGCTCCACATCCAATCCAGCTCTCTGCTATGGCCTGGGAAAGCAGTAGAAGAAGAACCAAGTGATTAGGCCCCTTCACCGGCGTGAAAGACCCAGAAGAAGCTTCTGGATCCTGGCTTTGGATAGGTGCAGCTCCGGCCAGCTGTTGTGGTCATTCAGGGAGTGAACTAGTGGATGGAAGTCAGTCTCATTCTCTCTCTCTCTCTTTCTCTCTCTCTCTCTCTCCATCTCTCTATCTCTCTGAAACTCTTCCAAATAAATAAATAAATCTTAAAAAAAAAAGAAATTCACATCTCTAAGGTAGTTTTTCTTTTTTTATACGTTGTCTAGAATCACATTTGACATTTTAATTTTTTTTAAACTTATTTGGGATGGGAGGGGGAGTGGGGGGGAGAGCGAGACAGCAAGAGTGCAAGGGAGCAGGAATGCTCCCCCCCAATCCACCGGTTCACTCAGCTCTAAGCCAGGAATCAAGCCCAGGCCTCCCCTCTGGGTGTATATGAATTTGAGCCATAACCAGGAAGCTGGCACTGGGAGCAGAGCACCAGGAGCTTCATAGAGGACGCAGGCGCCCCAACAGGCGTCTTAACCACTAGGTCAGACTCGGGTTCCTGTAGTTAGTTGGTTTTTCCTTTTCAATAATTACATTTACTTTATTTTTGGCATTTACTTTAATTCTGCCTTATGTGTTAACTGATTAATAAGAACAACTTTTTTTGGGGGGGGGGCGGTCAGTTTTAGAGGCATCAAAACTGTCTCCACCACATGTCTCCTGCGTGGTAGACTCTCAATAAGCATGCAGATGAATCTCATACGGGTATAAAATAACACGCTTTCGTAATATCAAGCAAACTGCAACAGGGACACGCACTAAGTTGCTCTGTCATCCCAAGCTTCAGCCCCAAGCCAATCACTGGGGCGGCACCGGGGCGGAGTTTGGTCTTGGGAGCGCTGACCAGGCCTCCAGCGTTAATAATGCTCGCAGCGTCCGCGGCCGTCGCTCACTTTCCGCGGAGGCGGGACTTCCAGTCTTTCTACCGCACTTCCTACTGGAGCCGGAAGTTAAGAGACTGGGATAGGCGCGCGCGAGGGGCTGGCTCGCAGACCGCTGGCACAGCAGGTGAGCTCCTGGGAGTTTGAAGAGCTGGGGGAGCCGAGCATTTCTGGCTGACTCTTTCCCAGCGCGTCATCCTGCAGTGCTCTTGGTGTCTTTTTTTGTTTCTTTCCTAGAGCCTCCCCAGGTTGCCAGAGTTGGGCGTTGCCTGCTCCCCGGGGCTTTAAGCGCATTCTTTGCGGTCCTGGAGGGAGTGCGGGGAGTGCGGGTGTGCTGGGGCAAGGGGGGGCTCTGGCCTGATCCCGGGGCGGGCAGGCTGGTTTGGCAGCTCGGTGAAAAGCCTTATTTAGGAGCAGCGGAACGTGATCCCCTGTTTGCTAAGCTTCTCACGGAGGATTGGCATGCCACTTTGGAAGAGGAGAAATTGGTACAGGCGACCAACAACTTTACTTGGTGTCATCGTGGGAGAGAAACAGCCCGTTCTCCCATTTAGTTAACATTTGGGGTGAAAGAGAAGTAGCGTTCAGTACACTGCGCTTCCTACCAACTGGGTGCTGTTCTAAGATGTGGTTGTCTTTAGATGTGAGGGTGTGACATCCCAATCCGCAAGAAGCAGTGTGTCGGGAAAACAGGGTAAACAGATGCCAAACTGTTAAGCGACAGAGGAGGTGGAGATGGTAGAGATGCGAGATGTTTAGCTCTCTGTTGAGGCCCGCTCAGGTTATGAATAACTTGACGTCTTTTTAACTTTTGACTTTTCTCTATGCTCGTATTTTTTTATGCTGTTGTAAGCAGCATATTGCTGGAGTTTTGTTTTGTTTTGTTTTGTTTTTTAATCTTATTTGAAAGAATGAGAGGAGTCGGCACTGCAGTGCAGTAGGTTAAGCCTCTACCTGCAGTGCCAGCATCCCATATAGTCGCCGGTTCATGTCCCGGCTGCTCCACTTCTGATTCAGCTCTCTGCTGTGTCCTGGGAAAGCAATGGAAGATGGCCCAAGTGCTTGGGCCCCTGCATCCACGTGGGAGACCAGGAAGAAGCTCTTGGCTTCTGGCTTCAGATCGACGGGGCTCTGGCACTTGTGGCCATTTGGGGAGTGGACCAGGTGATGGAATACCTCTCTCTCTTTCTCTCTCTCTGTTTCACTGTCTGTAACTCTACCTCTCAAATACATAAATAAAATCTTAAAAAAAAAAAAAGGAAGTATGAGCAAAACAGTGACAGAGATAGCAATATTCCATTGTTTCATTCCCTAGAAGCCCAGAAGTGGGAACTCAATCCAGGCCTTGCGTGCAGGTAACAAGGCCCCAACCACTTGAGCGTCACGTGTTGCCCCCGCAGGGTGCACATCAGCTGGAGGCTGGAATCCGACCTGGGGCCAGGATTCAAACCCCGACCCTCCAGTATGGTATGTGGGTGTCTGACTCGGGTGCATTAGCAGGGAGCTGGATTGGAAGTGGAGCAGCCAGGACTTGAACTGGCACCCGTCTGGAATGCTGGCGTCACAGGCAGTGGCTTTACCCACTACGTCACAGCGCCAGCCCCTCTCAGCTCTTCCCACCACCTTCACTTGTCCAAGTTAGGATTGTCACTTGTGTTGTTGCATTAGCCATCTGACTAGTCTGCTGCTTCCTCTTTCAGTCTACATCACGGCATCTAGAGTGACCCTCCTAAAGAAAATAAATCAGATCATCTTTGTCCTCTCAATGATATCCTCCAAGGACTACTGCTTTAACTCAGAGTAAAAGCCAGAGTTTCAGTGTGGTCCCTTGGGTCTTGTATGACCCGGTTCTGCTTCATGTCTGGTCTTACCTCTTACTCCTGTTTGTTCTACTCTAACCTCCTCAGGATATTTGCACTTGCTGTTCCTTTGCCTGTAATGGTCTTACTCCATTTGTCCACACGGTTTGATATCTTATCTCTTTCTCATGTTTTGGAATATTACCTGCTCAGTGATGCCTTTCCTGACAAGGCTTCCGCAGTCCTCAAGGGTTTCCATTGGATGCATTGTCCTTGTGCTCATCATCAGATGTCATGCTGTGTGATTTATTCATTTATTTCATTTGTTAAGTTTTCTACTCTACAATAGAAACTAATTGAGGGCAAGTTTTTTTTTTTTTAATGATTTTGATTTCCTGCGTATACCTAGAGCCTAAAAACACCATCTGGTTTTTGTTGCCATTCTATGATTGTTGAGTGAGTGAATTTAGACTTTTTCTGCTATCTTACAGTTTGTACTTTCTGCATTTTTTTCTCCTTTTATTTTTTGGATTGAAGTTTATTTTTTCACTTTTCCTCATCTACTTGTTTGGAAGATACACTCTATACTCTTCTGTACTTACAGTGGCTTACATTTACGTGTAAATTTACTGTGAATTTTTAACTGAATCTAATCCGAAATTTAACCCTGCGGAAAAATATTGCTTTAACCTTTAAGCTGCTGATTTTAAACAGACTTCCTGGATCATCTCATAATTTAATTATTCTTACAAGGTGTGGATGTTCAACAATAAAACTAGTAATTATTACTATTTTCTGGTGTTTTTTTTTTCTTTTTGGTTTATTTAAATCAATTTATCATGCATTTTAATAGACTATTGTATACTTAGTACTTCAGAGTTTTTTTTTTTTTTTCATTTAAGGTTTTATTTATTTATTTATTTATTTTTTTTTTTTTATTTTTTTTTTTTTTGACAGGCAGAGTGGACAGTGAGAGAGAGAGACAGAGAGAGAAAGGTCTTCCTTTGCCGTTGGTTCACCCTCCAATGGCCGCCGCTGCAGCCGGCGCACCACGCTGATCCGATGGCAGGATCCAGGATCCAGGTGCTTTTCCTGGTCTCCCATGGGGTGCAGGGCCCAAGCACCTGGGCCATCCTCCACTGCACTCCCTGGCCACAGCAGAGAGCTGGCCTGGAAGAGGGGCAACCGGGACAGAATCCGGCGCCCTGACCGGGACTAGAACCCGGTGTGCCGGCGCCGCAAGGTGGAGGATTAGCCTATTGAGCCACGGCGCCGGCCCTATTTATTTATTTGAGAGATAGAGTTACAGGCAGAGAGAGGGGAAGACAGAGAGAAAGATCTTCCATCTGCTGGTTCACTCCCCAAATGGCTGCAATGGCCAGAGCTGGACCGATCCAAAGCTGGGAGCCAAGAGCCTTCTCTGGGTTTCCCACATGGACACAGAGGCCCAAGCACTTGGGCCATACTCCACTGCTCTCCTGGGCCACCAGCAGGGAGCAGATTTGGAAGAGGAGCAGCCAGGACGGGAACTGGCACTCACATGGAATGCCGGTACTGCAGGCAGAAGCCTAACCTATTATGCCAAAGCACTGGCCCCAGTACTTCAAAGTTTATAAAAGTTTTATGATACTTTTCCTACCTTGGCATTTTGCTGGTAATAGGTGCAGGTTAGACAATTTAAAAGTAATATGATGGGCCAGTGCTGTGGCGCAGCGGGTTAAAACCCCAGGCTGCAGTGCCGGCATCCCATATGGGTGCTGTTTTGAGTCCTGGCTATTCCACTTCTGATCCAGCTCTCTATTAATGCACCTGGGAAAGCAGTGGAGGATGGCCTAAGTCCTTGGTCCCCTGCAGCCACGTGGGAGACCTGGAAGAAGCTGCTGGCTCTTAGCTTCAAATATACTCAGTTCCAGCCGTTGTGGCCACTTGGGGAGTGAAGCAGTAGGTAGAAGATTTCTCTCTCCCTGTCTCTACCTCTCTTTGTAACTTTTTCAAATAAATAAAATTTTAAAAAATGTTAAAAGAAAGTAATATGAATATTCGTAAGGGTTAAATGAACATTATTTAGAAAGTAGGTAGGGACTACCAGAAAGGGAAAACATACTTTTCCAATTTTAAGGAGTAGATGAAATGAATTTGTGCAGGAGTGACTTTGGAAGATTTGTTGATGTAAAGAGTCTTAGTACTTCATTAGTTACTTTTATTCTTTTATTTATTTATTTATTTATTTATTTTTTGACAGGCAGAGTTAGGCAGTGAGAGAGACAGAGAGAAAGGTCTTCTTTCCGTTGGTTCACCCCTAAAATGGCTGCTATGGCTGGTGCACTGCACCGATCTGAAGCCAGGAGCCAGGTGCTTCTCCTGGTCTCCCATGCGAGTGTAGGACCCAAGCACTTGGGCCATTCTCCACTACCTTCCTGGGCCACAGCAGAGAGCTGAACTGGAAGAGGAGCAACCAGGACAGAACCGGTGCCCCAACCGGGACTAGAACCCGGGGCGCTGGCACCACAGGCGGAGGATTAGCCTAATGAGCCATGGCGCTGGCCTCTCTCATTTATTTTTTAAATATTCTTTATTTGAAAGTCTGAGTTAGAGAAGTGGCCTCAATGGCTGAGGCTCGACCACACTGAAGCCAGGGCCCTGGAGTTTCTTCTGGGTCTCCCACATGGGTGGCAGGGGCCAAATTACTTGGACCATCCTCCACTGCTTTCCTCCGTGCATTAACAGGGAGCTGGATTGGAAGTGGAGCAGTTGGGACTTGAACCAGCACCCATAAGTGATGGCAGCACTTAACCTGCTGTGCGACAGCGCCAGCCCCATCTCATATATAGTTTTATCATAAAATTGTGTGGATTTAGATCATTGGTGTTTTAGAGAGAAGACATGCTTTCAGCCCCTTTGGGAATGCTACTTAAAATGATATGAGATAATTCAATATGTGAAGAAATTCTGTGAGTATGTAGTTCAATTTCTACACAGGCATTGGCATTAGGTACAATGTGTGTAAGGATATCAGGACGGTATGCTAAATGGAATAAACCTCTAGAAGCCAGTGCTAATTCCTCTTGTATGAGGTAACTAGAGTAATCAAACTCAGAAACAAAGTGGGGACTGGGAGAAAGGGGAAATGGTAGAGGTTTCTGTTTTGGCTGCAGAGTTTCTGTTTTGCAGATGAGAAAGATTGGAGATTGGTTGTACCACAGTGTAAGTGTAGTTAATACAACTGAACTGTATGCTTTAAGATGATTGCAATGACAACTTATATGTATTTCACTAGAAGAATGAAAAAGGATAACAGGCTTGTTTAAAATTTGACTACACACTTAGA